ACATGTTTGAAAATTAGATTGTTTTTTTTCTATTCTAGAATTAATATTTATTTGTACTCGTTTTTCTTTTGGTAATAATTTATAGACAACAATATTAAAATTAGAAAATAAATTAGACATTTCAGTTAATAAACTAGGCAAATCATTCCATGTTATGTTAAATGATTTTTCTTTTATGCTATTAAGACAATCATGATATGCTTCGCATGCATTCCAACATTCTTCATATGTTAAATCTTGTAACTCGCCAGCTGTAAATTTACGTTTTAAACATTGGTATAACGAAACTAAAAAACTAGTATATACACAATAGCCATTTGGAAACCATGAAAAATCAACAAATGTTTTCTTTTGTTTGTGTATCTTAAAATATGTCTGAAACAAAACATTGTTTTTCTTTTTCAATTCTTTTTCTTTTCTTTTTTCCTGTTTTAAAAAACGTACAGCAGCTCGTAAAACTTTTGGATTTAGTGGATTCTTATCGTAAAAATGATTTTGAATATCACACGAATTATCGATCATACTGTGCAGACAATACATACCGTGCAGGACAATTTTGATGAATTATACAATTATTTTAATTCAAATGATTTTAGACGGTATATAGAAATGTTAAATTTGTATGTAACACCTATATATGCTTATTTATTTAAAGCACCGACAGATAATATTGTAGCTAAATTAAGAACTTATTATTGTAAAACGTATATGTAAAAAAAAATGTCTATTTTTAAAAAACGTGTTTTTAATATAGATAGTATTTATGATCAGATTGCTAAACGCGTAAAGAAAAATCGATTTGAGCTTTATAAAGCTAATTATGATTCACTTGCTGAAAGCACATTGGATCAAATGAATCAAAATCAAAATCAAATGAAAAATCCTGAAGATGATCTAAAACAATTACTACCTGATTTTGGTGAGTATGGTGCTGATCAATGGATGGACGATCAACAAGATATAGCAGTGAATGCAGAAATGCAATTTCGTAAAACATTAACAGAAGAAATGCCTTATATGACTTTTTTAGCAAGTGATGCTTCTTTAAAATTAACTGATAATTTAGGACCTGAAGTGTGGAAAACGTATTCTTCATTAGGTCCTCAGGATATAAGTCAATTTGCACGTATTGCTAAAGAAAATAAATTTGCAGAATTTAATGCAAATTATGATTTAAAAGCTTTAAATGATTATAATCAAAGACAAAGAGAATTAGGCAATAGTCAATCTTTACGAAAAATATTAGATCCTCTTTATGGTAAACCAACAACGCCTTATAAACATGATATTAAATCTATGCCTGTTAATGAATATACTCTTTATTTTCAACGTATTGGAGTAAACGAAATTGAAAGCGTATTAAAAGATGTTCGATTAACTAATTCAAGAGCTCTTCAAATGGGACTAGAAAAAGCATTAAAAGGGTATAGCAGTATAGCTCAAAATCAAACATATCGTCTAGAATTTGCGTTTCAAAAAGGTCTTACAACGCCGACTCCTTCTCAATTGCGATTATTTTTAGTTATGAAAGATTTTGCTTTTGATACCGGTGAAAATGTAGACATGATTATTAATAATATAACTAATGATAATTTAAAACCTATCGACGATAAATCTATAGTAATGCAAGAAGCAAATAATATTTTTACGCTTTTAAATTCACACATTGGAGATCCAGGCAAAGCAAAATTATTTGAAAGTTTTAATTTGCATTATTTACCGTTTTCAAAAATGTTAAATGCAGGTATTGGATTTGCTTTTTTCCATTTCATACCAATACCACCAATAATAGCGTCTCTTAAAAATACAAATTTGTTAACATTAACATTAGATAAAATCATACATTCAAATTGAGACAAACTATGTATGATCCATCCAGATTCTTTATGATTTGAACGACGAACTCCTTCTAAATTAGATTGAACAATTTCTTCTAATTTAACTTCTACTTCTAATGGTTTTATAAAATGAACAGGTGTTCGATAAATAGATTTAATTAAATGAAAACTATTACCTTCTTCTTCTTTATAATACATAACCACCATTACAAATGTAATTAAAAATGATCTTTTCTCAAGTGGCATATTTTCATTTTTTGCTAACTCGCGTAAAATACATAAATTGGTTCTTTTTAAAATAAACTTCTCAATCTCACCCCAAGTCATGCAATATCTTAAAATAGATTCATCAAAGAAGGATTCGTCCGAATATTTTCTACTAGTCCATAACTGTTTTGTAAATATAACATTATTTTTAAATGCTTTTTCTTTTACTTTTAACTCGAATTTCATTTTTTTGCTTTTAATAAAAAAATAAAATTATAATATAAAAATATAAAACATATACATATTTATATATGCATTTCTTAATTATATAAAAAAAATAAACTACTTGATTTTTTAAAAATATATCATTTATTTTCAATAACATTTTTTATAATACATAACCACCATTACAAATGTCATACAATATCTTAAAATATTTTCTACTAAGTTATAGCTAGTCTATAACTGTTTTGTAAATATAACATTATTTTTTAAATGCTTTTTCTTTTACTTTTAACTCAAATTTCATTTTTTTGCTTTTAATAAAAAAAATAAAATTATAATATAAAAATATAAAACATATACATATTTATATTAAAAGTTTATACTACATAATGTCCAACGAAAACTATAAGGTTCTCGCACTTTTTCTTTTAATGTACTACCTATTGTAAATAATGGACTTTCTAAACTCCATCTTTTAATCATACTTTTAAACGATTCATCATCATCTTGATATTTTTTTAATTGAGTTTTTAAATGTTCATCGTATACATTTAATCTTGTATTTTGAAATTTTAGTAATACTTTTTTTACTTTAGTTAAAGAATCTAATCCAAACAAACTACTTTTTATAGATTGAATGGCGTTTTCAATTAAATCGTTCATAGTTTTGTTTCTTCCTTGTCAATTTCAATATCTGGTTCTTTTATAATTTCTTTTGTTTCTTCTGGAAGTTTTGTTTCTTCTTTTGTTTCTTCTTTTGTAATTTCTTCTTCTTCTTCAGGTAAAAGTTCAGGTTTTATAGGAGTCATTAAACTAGAATCTGTAAATAACGACCAGGATGTTTTTTTTGGAGTTGAAGTTGCTAAACGCGTTAAACGACCTGCTGTTATTGGTTTTATAATATATTTAAAATCTTCCTTGGGAAATTTTATATATCCTTCAAACTCAATTGCAAATTTTTCAACATTTTCATTTAGTGTGAAAACGTCAATGTAGTAAGAAATAAAATAGTTTGTAGCATCTATTTTTCCACTAAATAATGGACTTATTAACAAAGTCGTTTCCATTCTACTTTGAAAATCTTCAGTGGTAAAAAAATAATCCAATTCGTTTATCACTTTATTTAAAAAATCTTTATTTTCTATACGATTTATAAAATTTTGATGACTATATACAGCTTCTGAATCTATTTTAAAAGGAAGTTCTTTTCTAATAAAAAACATATGCGCTATTAAATAAACTATACACCATCCTGTTTCTTCTGTATATTGATCTAAATCATAATTCTCAAACAATGCTTCAAATTGTTGAACGACTTTTTCTCGCATTTTATCTGTAGCTGTTAAAAAATAAGTTTTAATATCGCCTGAAGCAGTTGCAAAACCCTGAGCAATACGTCTAGCCCATCTTTTTAAGGGAAGTTCTAACAAATCTATCATTTTTTGCGCTTGTTTTGAATCTACACTTTCATTAAAAAATGATATAGGTGTTTTTACAGCAAACAAAGAATCATCTTTGACTTGAATTTTTTCTAATTGAACAGGATTCCATTCGGTTGTATTTCTAAACATGATAGTCCCACCAATATGTCATTAATATATCTCAACGAAAAAAGACACCTTCAGATCCTGACGATGTACGGTATCAATTATCAAATAAATCATATTTAAATCAATTGCAATTAAATAAATTGCACGTATATAGTACAACTACATTAGGAAAGGATTTATATCAACTAGATAAAGACGGAAATATTATAAGTAATTGGCAAGACAGTATACCTATACGTAATTTAAAATTATCAATTTATGAACCAACTACGATTATGGATAATAAAAGATTTACAATTATTTTAGCAAGAGACCAAACTCGATTTGATTATGAAAAAAATCCATATTCTTATTCCATGTCTCCTGATAATGTGAACACTTTATATCAATATGCAAAAGGAAAAAAAAGAAAATATTTATGTACTGTTGCTCAAATTAACAACATGTCTACACAAATAACAAATTTTAAACCTTATGATAAAAACATATGGATGACTATTGACGGTGTTCAAAATACAGATGTTTATACAAATAATCAAATTATACAAAATTGCGTATATCAATTTGATATGGCACCTTATATTGCTACTAGGGATACATCTGTGCATATTAATTTTGAAACTATAATAAATCCATCTTACAATTACTACATAGTCGAGTTGGACTATGTAATAATTCCATCTTTTTTTAAAAAAAATCTTTATATTTTCAAATCTTTATTTTTTTTCTTTCTTGATATTTTGATTTTGATATTGTTTTAAAATTATTTTTGCCTTTTATACTCGTTTTCTATAAAATGAAATACCATATTAAGGCATATTATTTTGTAAATTCTATTTCCATATTGGGGTATAACTTTTGTTTTTTATAATTTTATATTTTTATGTATCCTTATAAGGATACACAACAAAATATTATTGTTATATCCTTATAAGGACTCATAACAAAATTATTGCTATATATCCTTATACGGTTACATAACAAAAAACATTAAAATTATTGTTATATATCCTTATAAGGGTACAGATCAAAATTATTGTTGTGTACCCTTATAAGGATACATAATGTTTTTTAATATTAAAAAAGTTTCGCTTTCTTATTATCTTTTCAACTCAAACAAAATCAATATTGATTTTCTTAAAACGTATATAAACGTTTTTTAATAAAAAATAAAATCAGAAAAACGGGTGTTTACATTTTTAAAAAATAAATATTAAATAAAAGAATGGACAAAGATCAAGTTGAAGTTGTCGAACTTTTAAAAAAAGGTAACGTGTTTTTCACAGGACCAGCTGGAACAGGTAAAACTTTTACAGTTAAACAACTAGCAAAATATTTTAAAAACTTAAATGTGTACATAACTGCAACAACAGGTATAGCTGCACAAAATTATGAAAATGCAACAACATTACATTCGTTTGCTGGTATACCTACTTATCAGCGCAAACTTTCACATTTAATACAAAGTTTAAATCCTATTATAAAAGAACGTTTAAAAGAGGTTAATTTATTAATTATCGACGAAGTCAGCATGCTTAATGTTGAAACATTTGAACTTTTAAACGGCTTATTAAAATTTGCAAAAAACAGTGGTGACCATTTTGGAGGGTGTAGACTTTTATTAACTGGAGACTTTTTTCAATTGCCTCCAGTTTTTAAAAACGAATTTGGATTATTATTATTTGAAAGCGAACTTTGGAAAAATGCAAATATAACAACAAAACATTTAACACAAAATTATAGACAAGACAAAGATTTTGAATATCAACAACATTTATTTAATATTCGAGAAGGGGATATTCCACTGTTTACATTAAAATATTTTTTAAATCGTTCTTACGAACAAGACACTTTTAAAAAATCATATTTAAGAGTATTTTTTACAAACAACGAAACCAATAATTATAATCAAAAACGTCTACAAGAATTACCAGGCAATTTAATTACGTATAATGCCACCGTTACTAGTTTTAATTACCCCCTTCACGATTGGCCGTTTCAAATACCAAAACAAGTTACACTTAAAGTTGGAGCAAGAGTTATGATTACAAAAAATTTAACCGATAAAAATCTAGTTAATGGACATATTGCCACCATTGTTCATTTAGAAGATAATTTAATCACTATCAAATATAAAAAAATGTTTATTGATTTAATGCCGTCTATAGAAACAATTTTAAATAATAAACAAGAAAATGTGGCAGAATGTAAAGGATTTCCACTTGTATTAGCATACGGATTAACTGTTCATAAAGTTCAAGGATTAACATTAAATCACGTTGTTATTTACTTAAACAAACAAACATTTCGGAGTCGATTGAATATCGAAAACGATATTCTTTCCATGAGAGTACACAATTCATAATAAATATATATATTTTGTGAATGTCTCCTGCTACCGGATAGTCAAGTATTTCACCTGAAAATATTGTTGATAAAATTTCTATTCCGTTTAATTCAGGATAACTTGTTACAGTTCGAGTATCGCAATGTAATATTTGTTGAATAATATTACTTTTATGCATAAGATTATATCCTTTTTCTTCTGTAGTTATTATTTTATTATTAATATCTAAATAAATATCTTTTTGTAAAGACTCTAATAACCACTCTCGATATGGGGCAGGTATAAATAATTTTAATTCTTCTTTTGAATATTGTTGCAATAATGTTTCACTCGCTTTTTTTAAACGATCAAAACAAACTCGCATTTCTGTTTGCGCGTTAACATAATATTTATACTTTTTATAATTTAAAACATTTTTAGCTAACCACCCATAATGTCCATTAATCATTAATTTAATAAATAAATCGCTTACTTTATCTCCTTTTATGTTTGCTTCTTGTCTTTTTGCAGTCAAATAAGAAACAAACGTATGCGCCATATTACACATGATAACCCCAAACACGCGTTTTATTGACACAATTTCTAAGTGTTGTGTATCTATTAACCATTTAAGTCTATCGAGCGTTTCTACCGTTTCATGCTCGCCATATTTATAAACCAATTTTGGTGTTTTACCCAAATTAATTTTATATCCCTTTTGAGTCATTTGTCGTTTGTCAAATATCTCAAAAGGTGACAATTCGTCATATTTTAATGTTTCTCTTGTTACAAGCGGAGATATTCCGTTTAAGTCACCATGTACCCCTTTTTTAATTTTTAAAACGCATTCAATAAGCGCCCCTCTTTTAAACGTTCCTTCTTTGCAATAATATTTATCCATCATTTCTTCCCACGACATTTTTTTAATATGAGTTTCCATAATTACCCCTAATGATTTTCTTTGCGCTGCCCCATACTGCCCATTTTCATCCCAAATTTTCATTTTCATTTTAATTACTTCTCTATCATTATTATTTGCTATGCAAACTTATTGGCAATATCGAATTCCGACTTGTTCGTTTTTTGAATTGTTGATTGTAAATGATTGTTGTGCTGATCTTTTTCGTGTATGTATAAAATATGTTTATCGAGAATGTTTATATAAAAATGTAACATTGACAAAATATCTTCAATGGAAAACTTTAGTTGACAGCTGTGAAAATAATTATGATTTTCAAAAGATGATGGAACGATCTCATTGGGAATTTGAAAAGAATGAAATATTATATATGTTATACTTTATTATTGGGGATTTTTATATTAAAGTAGAAAAACAAATTTCTATACGTAATAAATTATTTTTAGCAATTCAGTCTTTTGAAAAAGAACAAACACCTATGAAAGAACAAATGGATTATTTTACTAATTGGTTTATGGATCGCTATAACACGAGCTATGATTGTGAATTTGATTGCACTGATTTTCTTTTTCAATATTTATGCAACATATCACAAGAGTTGGGTTATACTTATTATAATATGGATCAAGAGTATTATTGTTTTTATTTAAAAGCTATAACTTGGTTTTTAATAACTACAGAAACTTTGAGTCCGTATTATATGTATAAACATAGAATATTTTTACATGAACTTTATCAACGCCATTTATATGGTTTTATGTTTTATCTTTTGCGAAATGCTCCTGTAAGAATTGTGAATCAGTTAACAAATAACATTTTGAAGGATATTGTTTGTCGATTAAAAGAACAGTTTAGATTGTTTGGGCAATTTGGTAAAAATATTTGCGAAGATGAATATATCGGCAGGTTAGAAAATGCTTATTATGAAAGATTAATTGAACCGTTTTTTCGAGCGAGTGAAGTACCTTATGAATATTTTAGAAAAATGTTAAACATTGCTTATGATGAAAACTATCAAGAGTATCGACGTAAATATTATAACGAAAATAATACAGCCATTTCTAATTCATTTGAAGAAAGAAAAAACTTTATAATTACTTATTATGATGAAAAATATATATTATTACTAGATTTGTTAAATGAAAGTTATAACAATAAAAAAAATTCAAATTAAAATGATCGTTTTTTTCTTAAAAAAAATGTTAAAATGTTTAAAAAAAAGAAATTAAATATTTTTTAAGTTTTTATAAAAATACTTTTTTTTATAGTGAAAAAAATGGATTTAGAAATCTTTCAAGAATGTATTCGCAATGAAGTAAATGAACATTATCAGTTTTTTGTATATAAAGATTGTATCTTTTGTGGAGATCAATATTTATTACGTTACAATGGACGAGAAAATATATTTATTTCTAAATATAGATACAATAATACAACAACTATTAAAAACTTTGAAGCTTCACCAGATTTATTTGTTCCTTTTGATAACGATTATGAAGTTTATAAATTATCAGTTAGCAAGCCTGAACGAAAAATATTCGATCCTTATTTTGATAAATATAACATTTTTGAAAGTGTCTCACTAAGTGAACAATGGAAAATCATGAAAACAATTCCTGATTGGACAGCTTTAAGAGAAATATTAAAATCACATTTTGAAGATGATATAACATTCTTAGATTTATTATTAGAATTAACACCATCACATTTGATAAACGCCGACATATTTGATAATTGCGTTTTGATAAGTAAATGGATACAAAAAATTAAATTTAATGATGTCGAATATTTTTTGGGTAGTTTTTATAGAGAACCTTTTGACACTGAAGAAATTGATTTATTTAAATTTAATTATAAACCATTGACTTGCAATGGATATGTGTGCTCGTCTTTAAAACCGTGTCAAAAGAGTTATTGCAAATATAAAAATAATAAACAATGGAATTATTATGTAGGTTTAACGTATATGGAAAAAAAACTAAGAAAAATATATATTTTATTAAGTGTAAAAATGGTTTATTCTGTTAAAGATGTGTTTATAACATTTTTTTATTTAATATGGTTTGATGTAATGTGGACATGTTTACGTGATATATCCAATCGATTAGAAATGATTAGAAGTAAATTAAACATGAAAAATGTACTTATATCTTTTACTTATGATAGAGTTGATAAATATTTCAATTTCTCATTGCATTGTTTAAAAAATATTCATATTCGATATATAAGAAAAAGACTTTATTATGATTTAAATGATTGTAATAGTAGAGCGACAGAAATGTCAAAACAATATTTTTTAAATGAAGACTTATTTTGGAAAACATTTTTTACAAATTAAATATTATAACTATAAATTAATTTTTCCATTTCTTTTGTTTCGTTGCGTTCGTTTTCAGGTATATAATAATTTTGTGCCATGTTTTTAAATCTTTCATAATTATAAATAAAATAACTATGGCGATCTTCTAATTTGAATTGTTCAATATCGTTTGCCAGTAACAAGTCGCCTATTTTTGTAATTTCTCCGTCGCTTAAAAAATAATCTTTAGATTCTTTAACGCGTACTAAATCAAGCGAGTCTAGATATTCCATTACTGTATTATTTTTTAAGATTTTATTTGCTAAAACATCAGTTTGAGGATAGTGTTCTTCTTTGTCTTCATGCGTTAAATGTAACATGTTAATTTCGTGTTGATTTTGGTGTTGAAATAATTGAAAATCTTCTTTAAATAAATTTTTAGCAAAAGTGTCTAAATATGACCACAGTTCATTTTTAACAAAAGTAAAAAAAGGTAAAAGATTATAAATGGAATTATTATATAGCGTATTGTATTGCAAATCTTTAAAATATTCACTTAAAACAGCACTAATGATATGAGGATCAATATATTCAGTAAATAAATAATCATTTTTACTAAATAAACAGTGTAAAAAATAAATGATCCACGGTCCACACAATGTTGATTCTCCGCTTTGATATATTTTAGTATTAAATAAAATGTTTACTTGTAAGATATTATTTATTTCACAAAAACGTTTACAAAATATTAAAAACCATTTTTCTTGACTGTCTTTTAATTTTAATTTTTTAAAATTTAAAGCAACAGCACTCACTTCGTTAGTTATGGATACTTCTTGTGCGTATTCAATAAGAGAACTTTGATTTTGTATCGATTGAGGTAATTGTGTAAAAAAATTATTTTTACCCAAACTGTCAAAACAAAATAACGTGCTTTGATTTAATCGCATCATCATACGCCAATGTGTACCTTCTTGTTTAGACGAATCACTGTTGTAAATAAAAAATTCTCCATTTTTAAAAAAATAAGTAAATAACTGATCAATAAGATCAAAAGGGAAAACACCTTTAAATCGTGAAAAATGTGTTTTGCAGTACGATTCTAAACTTCCTGTGGTAGCCATTTATAAAAATTGATTTTTTTCTCCGTCACCATCAATACTATTTTCAGCATAATTTAATAGGAAATTATAAATTGCAATTAAAATTTCCATTAAAATACTTTTTTGTTTTTCTGTTTTTATTTCGCCATTGTTACATCGTTTAGAAAAACCTGTTTGAATCATTAAATCAAACGATTTCATAATTTTTGATAATGTTGTCAAGCTCATGTGAATAATATCTACACCCCCATTATCGAAACAAATAATCAATGTTTTAATTACCCTGACACTCCATTAGGTATATATTTTTAACAAAATATATTTCATTTCTTTCTTTTATTAAGTATATTTTTTTATTATTTTTTAAATTTTTTTTAGAAGTTAACGTTTCAAAATCAGATGATAAATTTTATTTTGATGAGAACGCCCAAGACGACTTAATATTTCATTTTGATAATTAGTTGTAAAAATATATTTTTTAAAAAATTAAATAATTTTACCTTATAATTGTCCTTTGTCGTATAATAGTTTTTCACTTTCAGTTAAAAAAGCTCGATTAATAGACTTATTACTTATACTTGGCTGTTGAATAGATTTATTTACTGTTAATGTATTTGTTAAACTTCCCTTTTTTCGTAATTTTATAAAATTCACAATAGTACTACCCAATTTTGATATTGCATCAGCATTTTTAACAGCAAACGTGCCTAAAGCTTTAGCATTATCCACAGTAACTAAACTTTCTAATCCGCCTCCTCTCTTTTTACGATAACGTTTTTTATAAGAAGCTCTTTTTTTTATTCTTTTTACACGTTTCATTTCTTTTAAATATTTACTTGTTTTTTTAAAATTATATATTGTTTTTTTCATTATTATTATTTATAAATAATACATTTATTTTAAAAAACTAATACAATATTATTTTATTTTTAGATAATTAATTATGAGTGCAAAAAAATATGGAAAAAAATATGGAAAAAAAACTAATTCGCAAAGAAAGAAAAATAATACAAATAATAAGTTTTAAGTTACGCAAACAATATTAATTCATTTTATAACATGATTATGTAATTTTTATAATTCGACTTTTTTAAATTATTTTGTATTTTTTTATTTTTAATGTCCCTTTAGTTTTGAGTGTTTTAAGAAAATTATTTTCTCAAAGCAGCCAAAACTAAAGGTATAAAAAATAAAAAACAAAAAAAACATTTTAATTCTTTTTTGTAATATGTTTATTATGTAATTCAATTTATAATCCAAATAAAGCTCTCACATTTTTGACCTCGTCCTCACTTACTTTGACCTCGCCCTCACTATTATTGACCTCGCCCTCACGTAGTTTGACCTCGCCCTCACTTACCCTGCCCTCACTTGTTTTTAACCATTTTTACTTTTTTAAAAACTAAAATATTACTTTTTCTTAGGGGTCCCCCTCAATTTTCGTATGAAGAACCTTTTCTCTTATATTTTCATAAAAAAACGTTTTTTTACCTAAAAATTGTGATACTAAAGGTCATCAGATGATGAAATTGAATTTGATCAATGGACAACAACAGATAGGTCAAACTTGACACATAATAAAGAGCCAGTGTTTGAATACATTGAACTAGTATGTAGAAAACTGGAAAAACTTGTACCACATTCGTATTTAGCAAAGAGTCAAGCATTATACCTGAGTTCAAGAAAGGAAGTTATGAATGAGGTAACAGCATTTATTTCTGGGTGATTTTTCAGAAAACTATAAATTTGTAGTTCAGGATGAAGTGCAAAGCTTTCATAGGACAAATGTATACTTCATCCAGTGATTATTTATTTCAAAAAAGAAGGCATTCTCAAGCACAAATCCTATTGTATTATTTCGGATGATATGATCCATGATGTGAACATGGTTTATAAAATTATTGAGGTTGTTTGCAATGATATAAAAACAAATTTGCCTCAAATAAAAAATATTGAATACTTGCAAAAATATGTTAAATCTTTGTTTCCATTATGAAGATTTTGGTTTTACTGCTAAATGGAACTTTTTTGCAACTAGTAACCCATCACAAGGTTGCTTACTGTGTCAAAAAACTAAGTTTTTTGACACAGTAAGCAACCTTGTGATGGGATAGGTGGTACAGTCAAACGTCTGGCAACACTAGCAAGTTTGCAAAGAGATATGGAGATAAAATATGGGATCATATTTTATCTCCACAAACAATGTATAAGTATTGCAATGAAAACACTGAAGGCATAAATTTCATATATATTTTATCAGAAGATTTAATTTTGGTGAGAACCGCTCTTAAAGAACGATTGGATACTGCTAATACAATACCTGGAACACGTAGTTACCATCAGTTTGTACCACTTGGCCATCAAAAGGTAAATTATTATTTTTAATTATACCTTTTACCATATTTTAAAATACACGCATAACTTTTATTGATAAACTCAAATAGATATTAGATTTTTGCAGAATCATTATCAAAAATATTTATATTTTATTTTATTTCCTCTGCATTTGCTATCTATGCATTTGATAAAATATGTTTGATAAGTAAAACGGAATAGTTGCATATTTTACTATTTTGTTTAGGTAGGCACTAAGCTATGCAGTGTTGATGAAGAATTTGCTTTAATTCATGACTTTAGAAATATCCAGATAACAACTGTAAATCTAGTACCAGGTGATTATGCCTGTGTTTCCTATGAGCAAAAGTGGTGGATAGGAGTCATTGAAGATATTAATTTAGAAGAAAAAGATGTGCTTGTAAAATTTGTGTCCTAATGGTCCTGCACGGTCGTTTAAATGGCCACCAAAGGAAAGCCAATGCTGGGTTCCTGATGTCCACATTATTTGCAAAGTTGAGGTACCGATAACAAAAACAGGACTTTGCTACTATTCAGCCAAAGAGGACTTATTTTCCTAAGGAAGTAGAGATTTTTATATTTATGAGTCAATTATGTCTTATCTATTCTTTTTTTAAATATTATGTTTTATGAACCAACTTGTAAATAATGTGAATGTAAAGCATATATAAAATCACTAAAGTTTAATATTTAAAAAAAAAAATTTATATACGTTTAAATTTTGTTGTAAATATCATATGAAAATGAAAAAGATAATAAAGTCACTAAATTTTTAGTTTCTAATTTGATTGATTGGTAAAAGTTGGGGTTATATTAAGTGTCTAATTTAAAAAATTTTGTGTCTATATCAAACATCAACAATTCCTCAAGTAAATATAAGGTTAAAAAGTAGGTGTTGATCTTATTTTTAAGAAAATCGAAATTAAATTTTTTTTATATCAGTCAGATTTTTTTTATAGCTATAATTGTCAATGCCCTTTTTTCTCGGCGTTATAAAGTGTATTTTATGGATCTTAAATAAGCTTCATTCCCTTGTTTTGACATATAAAAAACTATATTTTTCTGATTTAACAGGTTTTAAACTCTTTTGGTACAAAGTTTCAGAATTGTGGCATCACTACAAGCACCATATTAAGGTGAAAGTAAACGGAATGATTTTCGGCACTTTTCCCCCCTCAGTTTTTAGACAAAATCAAGGAAACTTCAAATTGCTGTAACTTATAAACGGTAATGAATTTTATGAAAAAAAATTACAATCTTTCCTAACATATGTCTATAAACATTTGTGCCAAGTTTCAAAAATTTTGGTGATATAGGGTGCAGATTTGTGTTTTCTTGTGTTTTTTGAGAAGTTTTTACCCAATTTTCAAACCCAGTTGATTCAGATCTGTAAGAGGCAATTAAAATTTTTTAAAGTAAAAAAAAGTTCTACAATAACAGGCTAATGCGTGCACATATCCTTATCAGTTTATGAGGTATTGCCGTTTAGATCAAAAAATAGAGATTTTATTTAATTTCAAAAATCTCAAAAATGTTTAACAAATTTCATTAGCCTGATCGTTATTTAGTTTATTAAAAAAGATTTTAGTCAATGCGCCTAGCAAGACTAACCCTAAAACCGCCCCTGTAGTTAGATAACTTTGAGATATCACCATCTTTAAATATTGGACCCATGCCTTGATCTTGGCTTTGAAACTGTTGGCCTTAGAATTGGTCTTGGCCTCAATGCCAAAAATTAAGGCCTTGAAAATTTTTGCGTAGGCCTTGAAATTCTTATTCTCGGCCTTAGCCTTAAAACTCCTGGCCTTGGCCTCGACCTTAAAACTCTTGGCCTGGGCCTTGGTCTTGGCCTTGGCATTGTAACATGTAACCTTGACCTTGGCCTTGCTACTTTTAGCCTTGTTAACAACTTTGCATTATAGCAAAGATGAACTATTAAAAAAAATTAAAATATAATTTCAATAGTTAATTTGAAATTTGAGCAAAAAATCATTGATGGTTACGTAGAACTATTTTCCACAGCGCACAGTGGGCGGAATTTCAAAAAACCCGGCCAAAAGTCAAAAAATGATTATAATTAATGGAAAATTTCTGTATAGCATTTTTTTGAATCCCCAACTTTGAATTTTACATAAGTGTACCAAAATTCAATAATGGCAGATCCAAAATGGCGGTGTTTTAAAAACATTAATCATTAGAAATGCCTTTGGGCCTTCGTGTTTAACCAATTAGTTCTAATTCGACATTTAAGTTCAATAGACTAATGTATTATTTACATTACATATATAAACATTATATATAATACTGATATATAATGTATTATGACCGTATTATTATGCCGCAATGTTAAGAAAAATAAATTGAAAAATTCATTATTTATTCTACTTATTTATTTGTTCAAGGAAAACAAGAAAAACTTTTATTTGCATCATTTATCATAATTGTTTCATTTATATGACTTTAAAATAAATCACCACTGTCATCTGAATCATTTATTATTGAAATATTGTTGATAAACTCAATCACAGACGAATGAGTTTCAGAGTTTAACTTTTAACCAAGTGTCATGTGTCTTCAAAAATATTTTTTTTTGTTCCGTTACTACTTTTCCATTTTATTTTTAATTTTGTCAATACATTTTTTAGTTTCTTTTTATCATCTGTTAAAAATTGGAAACAAATTTTTCTTCTTAGACACAACTGTGATTGCAAAATATCAAGCTGGTCATCTAGATCTGAAGATAACTCGGTTTTTAAAATTTCAAAAATTTCAATTCGAGGAATTTGCAAATGATCTTTTTGTGAACCTTAGATATTAATTGAAAATATAATAATTGAAAAAATCATAAAAACATTATAACTTTACTAAACTAATTAAAAATAAAATAAAAAGTAATCGATAATATATTATTTTATATAAATTCGATATATAAGAGAAAGGTAAAATATACTGTTAATCATATGATTGTATATAGATATAGTTATTATGTTTTTTGAGAAACTGATTTTGTAAAATTTAGTAAAACTATACAAAACTTGTCGTAGCTGAGGTAAAAAAGACGTCGTAACCGAGGGGGTTTATCCCCCCCCCCCCTCCTACACTCTAACTTTGTCAAAATCTCATTCATGTGTGCTACTAATTTTATTGTAGTTTTATTGCACTTAAAAAAATCAGTTTCTCAAGAAACATAATAACTATATCTATTTACAATTTGACTGATTTTGTAAAGAAAACAAAACACCGCCATTTTGTTTACTAAAAAACACGACTAGCACTACACAATATAAGTTAATGAAGTAATAGGCAAAAATAGGTGCCTTTTCTTTTAACCAATCTTTAGAATACACTTTTATGAACAATATCCAAATTATAACTAAGCGGAATCTCGCGGGTTCACTACTTTTTCAATGCTTCAAAAGTAGGTTAAAGAAAATAAATAAACTTTATTCTGTACTTTTTTGTTTTGCACTTTTCGCATAAAATTTAGAGAAATAATATAAAACTTTTTACTAAAATATTATATAAATACCTTGAATAGTATCGTCCATAGTTAGTTTTTTAGTAACGATAAATAACTTTTTTGTAAACGATACTTATTTAACCACATTTTTTTTTTGCTTTTAAAACGCCAATTATGTGTTTTTAATAACAGATGTTTAACTGCGTAGATATAGGTAACTTTAAAATTTATACAATTTTTTCTTATACAATAAAATACAACAGGGCTTTGTTTATGTAGTTTCAAAATAATAAATTCAAAATAGTGATTTTTTTTTTTTGACTTTTGGCCAGCTTTTTTGAAAATTAGCCCACTGTGCAGCGTGACGTCTTTTATGGATGGCCCCGTTTGATATTTATTTTAATCGTCTTGGGGCTATGTTTTTATTTACTACGTATATTTTGAACTTTATGTTTATGGGTTAGGATCAGGGTTAGGGCAGTGGCGGATTGAGGTTTGATGTCGCAGGGGGGGGGGGCAAATGAATTGTCAATGAATAGGGGACGATGGGGGGTCAATGAAAAATCAATGAATTCGGGGGGAAAGGGTTTGGGTGTGGTATTTTAAACCCAAGAAATTATTTTCATGGTTAAAACTTTATAAGTGTTTTAGCCATGAAAATAAAGTGTAAAGAATAGATAAATTAGGAAGACCGGATGTCATCTATTTCTCAATAAAGAACTACATGTTTCAATTGCATGTCAGTTGTCAGTAATGGGAAAATTGATGCATACATACATTGAAAGTCTCATACTCTACGACTGCTTCTTCAGTGTTCACGTCATTACAACAAATTTGACAATTTGACGTTACAATAAATTTTTTAAATGAATATATATTTTTTTCACATAATTTTGACGGATGAAGGCAATCAAAATGTGTAACTCTGTTACTAAAGTCAATAAATCGTTTATTTACTTGGGTTATAATTGTATCCAAAACATTGAAGTAGGTTACACATTTTAGGCGTGTAGCTGGATCATCAACTCTTTCATTTCTCCACAATTCTTCTGTCATGCGTTTCTTTTTGGCATAATGTTAGGTTAACTGAATTTAAGGAAAGACAAGTTTTCTTTAAATTCAGTTTCTACATCTAGTTCCAGCACACTTTTTACTAATAAATAATTTGACTGCTAAATGTAGAACATCAAAAGTTTCATTGTTTCTCATATCTACAAACTTTTTTTTTGTAACATCAATCAACTGCTTCGCAAATAAAACATCTATATCTTCTTGTTGCAAATTGTTGAATAACACAAAAAGATTAATTAACAACATTGGAAAAAAAAACATTAGAACAACAAATGTTTTTTTTTATTAAAACTGATAGTCTAATAGCTTCTGCTCTAACATTTCGTTAATGTTCTTTTGATTTTCCTAGATTTATATCTTCTAGAGTGGCAAGAATATCAGAAAAAGATTCAACATCAGTATCAACTGCATGCTTCCTTCTTGCTCATCTTGTATCAGAAAGTCGTTTCAGAGTGTCTACTTTTGATTTTTACAGACGCTTCTTTTGGAGAATATGAAGTCGTGGCAATCTAGACGTAATAGTATACAATTTTTCAGCTGCGCCTAAAAACATCACTACTAGCTGTTTACAGACATTTCTTCAATGGTCACTAAATTCAAAACATGAGCACAATAATGAACATAGATGGCATTTGGTGAAAGAGCTTTTATTCGAGTTTGAAGACTATTTTTAATTCCAAAAATTATATAAGCACCATTATATACTTGTCCTCTGCAGAGTTTAATACCAATGTTTCTAAAGGAAATATTTTAAAACCTATATTTTAAAATAATTCCTCTCTCTTCATTTGTACTTATTTTTATTCTTTTCATTTTGTTTTTCATTGGTAATTTAAATTTATAATTTTTTTAAAAATCTTTTAGGGGGCGCCGTTCGATTGTTCTAGGGGGCGTGGGGAAGCACCCCCATCACCCTATACTAAATCCGCCACTAGGTTAGGGTTTACCGCCAATATGTGATTGGTTACTTGTAAACACTTTGTAGTTGTAAAATAAACATGTATTAAAAAAAAAAAATCTAAACTCTTGAATTTTTTAATGCGTTTGCGTATAATAACTTGCCGAATGTGTTAGAAATAGAAAAAATATATATAGACAAGTAAAATTAAAAAAAATTTTTAAAACCCAATAACTTATTATTAAAACATAAAGTTTGCAATAAATTTTTTCTGATATTACTATTTTATTTTATTAACATTTGACTGCATAAGTGTGTAAAAAAACAAAAAAAAAATTCAAAAAAAGGCGGGCGTCAAACCTTAGGCATTACGTTTACAAAATCAAAATAAGCTAAACGCGCATTTGCATAAGAAAACAATCAATATACTTCTTTTAAAAATTATTATTCTTTTTTTTCATATAAAAATAAACTGAACTAAATTAATTGACTTATTACAAAACTAATTATTGAATATTGTATTGTCATCAAGTAAGAGTATGTATGCAAAATTTGAAGAAAATATATCATCAAGAAGTGACTCAAAAATTGATTGCAAGATTTGATGCTCACAGATAAACAAACAGAGACGACGAGTTAATAAAAGCATTGGTAAAAATGACAATGGTATTGAATATTTCTTCAACGATGATTCAAATATTAACGAGGAAAAGATTTAGGAACTTCTATTTTAAAACATTTATTTACAGATTTTTTTCAACTCTAATAACTAATCTAAATTTGTTTGAAGGAATAAAAATAAAATTTACTACAAAGTTTTAAAATTAAATTTATTGTGATGCTATAACTACATTAACATATTCTGCATATTTATCTACATAAACAAATTAAATTACTAACCGTATAGCAGATTTACTTTCATTGTAGTTTTAAAAATAATAATGTTTCAACAAATCCAGCTAAACTATTAACAGATAGAATCACCAAATACAAGCAAAAGCGTTTGGAACTCAAACGACTTGCGCATGATTTTTGGTGGCTTTCTATGCTAGACTCAACCGCTTGCACTTCTTAGAAGTGATGGCACGGCCGCTAAAGAATCTAACAATTCAAGCCTGTTTTAAAAAGAAATCAAACGTTAACCAACTTTGATCATCTTCATAATACGAAGTAAGCATTTAAAAAAGGTTTATTCGATTTTGAGACAACGCCTCTTTCCAAGACATGATGAGAAGGAAATCGACTCACCAAGAGGCGATGGAGTTAGGTATTAACTACTAATTTCTCAAGTTGCAACACTTTTATAAAAAAGTCAAATTAGTTACGTCATAGCCTAAAAAAGCACAATTTTAATTGGTAATATTTTAGTAGCCAATCGTTTTTTTTTTATCTCTAATTTGATTGGCTTTGAAATGCAATCCGTTTTTCTTACCAAATTAGGTTGTTTTTTAGCCAATCCAAATCAGACGTATTTGTTACGTTACGTTAGTTACGTAAAAGTTTACGTCAGTGGTAACTAGGTTGTCAAAATCCAGTATTCGCGGAGGAGAGCGCATGTGCAAAATTTATTCTTTATTTTGATTTGTATAGATTTTTAATTAAGGTTTGTACCTTAAATTTTTTCTGATATTGCTATTTTATTTTATTAACATTCGACTGCATACGTGTGTAAAAAAACAAAAAAAATTCAAGAAGAGGCGGGTGTCGAACCATTACGTTTATAAAATCAACGTCTTTTCTAAATAAACTAAACGCGCGTTTACATAAGAAAACAATCAATACACTTCGTTTAAAAATTATTATTCTTTTTTCCTTATAAAAAATAAACTTAATTAAAATTAACTAAATTAATAGACTTATTACAAAACTAATTATTGAATATTGTATTGTCATCAAGCAAGATGTGGCTGGATAGCTTAGTTGGTAAGAGCGTAGAACAAAATGCCTAAACCCGGACTGTTGTAAGATACGAGCTCAAATCCTGCCACCGCCAACTCAGCGCTTGAGTAGTACTTCGGTACGCAAAAATGTTGGTCAATAACGGACGCTACTTTGGATTAGTCTTAATGACTATTTGTGGCTGTTCCTATGCTAAGCGAACAATATCTTTGAATATAAGAACATCGTATAGAAAAATATAGCATGAAAAATTCAAAAAAAAAAAAAAAAAAAAAAAAAATGTATGAACAATTTGAAGAAAATCTATCATCACGAAATGATTCAAAAATTAATTGCAAGATTTGATCCTCTCAGGTAAACAAACAGATAGAGTACCATAATAACCCAGATTTTGACAATCTTAATGGTAACGTTTTAATAAGCAGATATCTGTGTATGTTTTTTTTATTATTATTATTATTTTTTTTTTACATTTGTTGGTTGTATTATAGTTAGGTAAGTTGGCGAATTACATTAGGTAAGTTGGCGATTTGAAGAAGGATGAAGATTTGAAGAATAACGTGATAGAAGTGAATAAATAAGTGTGAGTGATAGAAGTTAATACTTAACTCATATATAGTTTTTTGAAAATATTTTGCTAGTGATTAAATGTCTGACTTAGAGTTGGATTATTTGTTGGAACATAACGTTGGGCCCGCGGCTATTATCAGCAACAGCGGCCGTAGCAGCTTCCTCGTTATATTTTTGGTACTTCTGTCTTTTCTTAGAGCCCATAGTCACGATAACAAACTTCACTAAGAAATTTTAACTTGTATATTCTACTATGATGAAACTATATTTTTAAAAAGTTGAAGTTTGAATTCAAATATTGCTTAGTTAAAAGAAATCCAGCCATGCGGATGATTTTGTAGCTGTTGCTTTAATTTATTTTGTTTTGTCTTAAAAACGTCACTAGCAACCTTAAAAATGCTTTTAAAGATAGTCAAAACCATAAAAGCATTCAAAATAATTGTTAGGTAAAAATAAAATAATGCACCAAATTTAATAATGTGTAAATTAAATTTCGAGCATAATGCACGAAATATGATGCTTTCGATAATTCGTGAAGAAATTTTTTACATCAAAAAAGTATTTGTTTATTATTATTATTTTTATTTTTACCTTTCCAAACATATTTGTTAAATTGGGTAAACGATAAGTACTTCTTTCAAAGAAATGTCGTGGTTCATTTTTGTACAGTTAAGTGTAAAAAGATTTACGTTTTTTCACTTTACGTGAAAAACCGATGTATCGTAACTTATTATAGCTTTATAAATAAAAATATTTGGACTACCGACATGAGGTTAGCAGTAACTTAATGTAGAAAGGTTGTACTAAATGAAACGTGAAACAATTCTTTGATTAAATTAGTGTCAGTGTGATTTTTTTAATGCAAAAGGCTGTTTGCACGAAATTCGATGCTGCCCGAAATTCTCCAACTTATCTATATATTGCCAAAAAAATAATGATAATAATATTAAACTTTCACAAAATAAAACAAGGTATCTGAAAGAAGATCAAAGGATCTTGCCATTAGAATCTTAAATAAGTTTAAACAAGCATTAACAAAGGTAGAGCCGCCGAGAGCTTTCATGACGCCAGGGGCATAGTAGCAATTAGTCGCCCTTACAACCATGCATAATTTTAAATTTAAAGTAAGTTTTACAAGTTATACAAGTTAATAACTGTGTTTTTTTTTTAATGCTTTTTTACAAGCAAAATCTGTTATTATTATTATGTTATTTTACGACCGAGTTGTATCCAACTCATTTTTAAAATGTATATCCGATAGGCGTTCTTAAATCTCTTGTTTTAAAGTGGCCCTAACAACCTTTTTTTTTTAAACCAATTTTTATTTACTTAAAGGTCGTTCACCTTTTGCGACAGATAGTGGTATAAAAAATAAAGACTACTTCAAACTATTAAGATGCGAAATATCTTCTATAAAGTTGTATTATATTTCAAGCTTTACATTTTACAAGATCTTGGTCTTTTAACCAGATGAATGAGAATCTTCACGAAAAAGTTTTCACAATTCCATTTTTTATTTAAATTTGTTGAATAAAATAGAAAAGCGCAACGTTAAAGGTTTTTACTTCGATTTTATGTTTGGGAAACTCTCAATAAAAAAATTGCATATTCAGGTTCAATGCGATTTTGCTATTCGCTTTACAAAAAATTCGATTTTATTGCCAAGACCAGTCATCCACTCATCATGTGGCGATATTTTAGTTGAAGCTAAAGCAATTTCCTGTGATTGTTTTACAATTAGTTTCATAGCAGCAATCTGAGCTGATTGTCTGGTGTCTGTTAAGCAAGATCTTCAGTCGGGAAAACATAAAGATCTTAGTTTTTTTAATTTATTTATTACAATAAACAATGAAACTTATACATAAAACGTTTAGTATTAATGAAAGAAAGCAACACCAGGCTTTTATACGCTGACGACATTTCTGCAGCCAAAGTTGTGTCATAAAAATACTTTTAAAAGAGTTTACTGAAGGTAAATCAATTACATCCTACGCTGATACTATTTCGACGGTTTGTAACAAATTTTTTCAAAAAGAGCTAATTTTCTGGGTAACTTTTTGTCGGGGTTTTAAACAAGTCGTTTTTAAAAATTTTATGCTAAGTTTTGTCAGAAATTGTAAAGGCGCTTTTTTTAAATTGGTTTTCAACAACCTTCTAATTTCTTCAACAGCGGTTCTCTGCGACAAATTCTAATGGTTATATTTTAGCTTTAAATAACTTTTTTCTTTAATAATTTGTTAATAAAATTAATTATTTAAAACTTAAACTCCATGGTAATATAAACAAATTAAGTTAATATGCGCATCACAAAGTAAATTTCATAACCTCATCCATAAAAACAATTTTTTTACTTTTTTTTTATTAAAATCTCATTATGATTTTTTATGTCTTTTGTCAAATTTCTTTTAAAATCTCATTATAATTTTTTAAAGTCTTTCATCTTCTAGCGCCCCTAATATCTTGGCGCCCGGGACACGCATGCACCTTTTGCCCCTCCTTCTCGGCGGCCCTGAACAAAGGTTACAACAGTATTAAATTTCTACAAGTTTCCTAAGTATATATTATATAATCCGAAGAGAGATCATTTGGACCTACTTAACAATACTTTATATAAACGTATACTTTTTTTTTTTTTTTTTTTTTTTTTTTTTTTTCAGTTTACAATTATTAATCGTAATATAACAATATAACAATATATAAACTTGGTATCTGAAAGAAGATCCAAATGATCTTGTCGCCAAAACCATATAAAAGATATAATACGTGTATATAAAATAAAATAAAATATAATTGATCAAATAACTAATAACAATGTAGAAGAAACAAAAACTGAAAATAATTTTACAAATTATCCAAAGTAAAAAAAAAGAATTTTACATTTCAAAAATATTTACATATATTGCCAGTAGAAAGAATATAGTTTTTTAATTTAGTTTTAAAAACGGAAAACGAAATCGACAAATCAAAATTTGGAACAACAATTGTGTTCCATAAATACGGTGCTCTATAGTTTATGCAAAATTGATTAAACTTTGTTTGACAAAAGGGTTCAATTAATAAATTATTATTTCGTAAAGCATATTTGTTTATAGCTTTATAAGTAAAAAGATCTTTGAAATTGGACAATGGTCGTTCACTTTTACAACGAAACATAAAACATAAAATATTATAGACATTGAGTTCGTAAACGTTAAGTGCTTTAACGTTTTTAAATAAAATATTTGAATGAGAAAAACGATTTTCGAAACATATTAAACGCATTGCGTGTTTCTGACGATGGTAAAATGTAATAATAAGTTAAGTAAAGAATATAAAATCAACAAAATAATAAAAAATAAACTTTTTAAAAATGTAAATAAGATAAGGCAAAGTTATTAATTCATATTATTAATAATAATATTAGCATCAAAATATCTTAAAAAAATACAAATTGTCCCCGCAAAAAGTTCTTGTGTATTAAGAGAAATAAAACAAATCGTAAACTCACTATGGCCAACACAACAGTAAACTCCCAGGTAGCAGCCCTTTGTGATGAGCTCACAAAACAAATAGTCTTACTCACCGCAAGAGTCGTAGCCGCTGAACGCCAGATAGACAACCAGAAAACTGAACTAGAAAACATGAACTCCATCATAAACACCCAGAACTTAACAATCACAAACTTGAAAACCATTTATACAACATGCAAGCAGATACAACACAAACATACAAGCAGGTACAACACCAACAGCTACCATGTGGAACCAGGTTGTTAGCAAGAACTCTAAATCTCACAAAAAAGACCAAAAACAAA